AATCCAAGCTATTGTGACACCAGATGCAATTGGTATGGCACTGACTGAAATAGGCACAGTATGCACTGTGAGCCTGACACAGAAGCTGGCAGCAGTGGCTTGAATAACTTGAAGCTGCTATTCAATCTATAACAGTGAAAAGAGATTTTTTTTTTTTTAAATCCAAGCTATTGTGACACCAGATCTAATTAGTGGCACTGGTCAGCGTATCCACTGTTAGCGTAACACACCCGCTTTAAGGACACTGACTGCTATTCAATCTATAACAGTAAAAAAAGTTTTTTGTTTTTAAATCTAAGCTATTGTGACACCAGATGTAATTGGTGGCACTGACTGGGGAAATGGGCACTGTGAGCCTGACACAGAAGCTGGCAGCAGTGGCAGACAACTAAGTGCATTTACATTAGATAGAAAAAAAAAATCCAAAAAAAGCATACCCTTATCCCTAACCTAGCTATGCTTTTCCCTATCTTATGAACAGCAGCTACACTTTCCCTCCTCTTACTAAGCATGCAGCTTGAGAATGAATCTAAAATGGATGCTGTCCAGTAGGTGGGAGGGTCTGCTAGGGAGGGTGTGCTGCTAATTGGCTGGAATGTGTCTGCTGACTGTGAGGTACAGGGTCAAAGTTTACTCAATGATGACAAATAGGGGGCGGGTCGAACCGCGCATATGTTCGCACGCCGTGGCGAACGCGAACATGCTATGTTCGCCAGGAACCGTTCGCCGGCGAACCGTTCGGTACATCACTATTTATAACCAAATGAAAATCGCACAATAAGGTGGTAAGTTAAAATAGCTTCAATCCCCAGATGTGACTTCATTCAAGCACTGCCAGTACACACCCTATGCAAAACATTTTGACACATAACAAGCTTCTTGCTACAATTCACAAACAGTTCTGATGTAATGTCATATGCAGTCCCGGCAGTTACTATACAAAGAGGTAGAGCTACTGTATTCAACTTTGTATATATTCAATTGTTACTTTGTAATGACGTATTGCACATGTTTCATAACACTGATAAAACAATTGACTACAGTATATACTCGAGTATAAGTCTAGTTTTTCAGCACATTTTTTTGTGCTTAAAAACCCCCACTCGACTTATACTCGAGTCACTGTCTGTATTATAGCAACTTAGAGAGCCGCGGCCGTCAGAGTCATGGCAACGATCCGCGCGGCAACCAGACCGCAAGACTTACAGTGGAGCTGACCGGAACGGAGGAGAAGGGAGCTGACAGGAGCTGCAGGAAAGGTAAGTAAATGCTTCCTGCCGGCCCCCCCACTTCACAGCCCATGCCACTGGACCACCAGGGATTAAGATAGCCCCCCTCCCTGACCAGTTAACAAGCAGGGAGGGGGGGACAAAAAAATTTTTTAAATAAAAAAATATTAAAATACATTTTTTTTTTAATAATAAAAATGCCCTCCCCCCACCCAGTTCACACACACTACACAAACACACACTCTGCATTATATACACAGAGTGTGTGTATATAATGCAGAGTGTGTGTTTGTATGAATGTGTGTGTTTGTATAAGTGTGTGTGTATATAATGCAGTGTGTGTTTGTATGAGTGTGTGTGTATATAATTATAAAAATCACATAATTTCATAGCCCCAAGTTTTACCCTCGACTTATCCATGAGGCATAGCATATTTCACAATTGTTGGTCACAAAACTGCACTCGACTTATACATGAGATCGACTTATACACGAGTATATATGGTAGTTTAAATATTTCTTAAAATGAAGGTGATTTGCACTGAATCTATAATACTGGTTAAAGGCAGAGGCTAGACATAAAAAAGAAAGTATTATAAAAACAGAGTGGATATTCATTAATAATTGTGGTAAAATAATTTAAAATAAGCAATTGGCAGGAGCATTAAATGTGCTTCATGTGTGGAAATAACCCCACTTTAAACATTTTGCACACTTTTACCCTTAATACACATGCACACAGTATCATCAATGCTTTTCTAACTTGCCAATGTGCTTTGTGGTATAGGCTTCTGTTATGATGTATACAGACTTTCTCCTGTGTTTTTAATGGGGTTAATTAAACTTTTTCTTCGTTATTGTCATGCCAAAAGCATGAGTTTGTGTTTGATGTGTGTTTATATATGTTGAGTTGTTTTTTTTGTAAACCTTGGGATGACGTTTATTGTGGTCTTTGATCCTGCACCAGGCCTAGACCATAAAACATCTAGATAGCCATCACCAGAGCTGGACACAAGGAATTTCATAGAGTGGGCAATAGACTGCCAGATCCCCCCAGGGGTCTGCCCACTGAGAAACAACTAGTTTAGATATATGAGGGTGTTGGACTATCCAGGGAAGTCAGTTATTCATTTTTCTTTTGTCAGTAACTTCTAGGAGATCTATACCATCTAAGACTCCCACAAGAATTCTATATGGGGTAAATATATGTAAGGAATTTCTTGTGTTTTCTCCTATTTTATTTTATGTACTGTTTTGCAATTTGTTATCTGTATGTCATTTATTTCTGTATTTTGTACTCAGCACTGTGAATCCTTTTTGTCAGATTAAATGTTTACTTAATCAGCTTGTGTCTCTGTTCTCTATGAGCTTCACTCTCCAGAGGAAAGCTCAGGTAAACACGTTACCAAAAAGGGTTAACTATATATGTTTTATCAGTAAAAGTAGAACTGTGATACTATAATTCTCCTGTGTGTGGGGTAACCTAAGACGCCCGGGTTTAAAAGTCTTGGTGGTGGCAGTAGTACTAAGGGGGATAGTGTAGAAGGGATTGCAGGGGTTAATTGAGTGGTTGCTGGGACTAGCAACAGGTAACCAGGGGTCTGGTGTCATTAACCCTGTCACTTCCACACTCTCCCCACTGTCTCGGCTGGGCCTATAGCCCACGCACGTGACAAACTGGCGGCAGCGGTGGGATATATTTAGAGATTTTTAGTGCTTGCTAGATTTTACCTGTAAAGGGGGTCTTAGCACTAAAAGAAATTGCATACTTGTTTTTGTGTAATTTCCAAAGACCAAGCTCAGTGCTGATTTAAAATACATACAAAGTGCAAAACAGTTCTCCCCTCCCATCTTTTGTTTTTCTTTCTCTATCCTATTTGTGAATATGGAGGCCTATCGCAAACAATCAAAAGAGGCCTTGGAATTGTTGTGCCAAGAAAAGAATTTACCAACTTTTGGCAAAAATAAGGCACAACTTATTGCTGACCTTGTGGAGGCTGACAGCCATATTTTCCAGCCAGAGACGGACACTGAAAGGGTTACCGAGCTCCCTACTACTGCAGGAGTGTTGCTTACTGAAATGCCTGGTGGTTGTACCCCTCAAAACATTAAGGACATTTGCTCAACTGATTTATTTCGGCAACTGATGGCTGCAAATCCTCAGGAGGCCCTGCAGGTGATGATCCAACAGCAGGCTGCAGAAAGGGAATCTGCAGAGAGGCTAGCCGAAAGGGAGGCACAAAGGAGACATGAGCTGGAACTTGCTAAACTGCAATTTACCCTTCAGTCCTCACTGAACAGCAATGCATCAGAGTCCAGCACACGTAGGCTCCGTAAGGATGATTTTCCTTCCCTCGAAGAAGGGACAGATTTGGATGTATTTTTAAAAAGTTTTGAGAAAGTATGCAGGCAGCATCAACTACCCTCAGACCAGTGGGGCAGATATTTAACTCCACAATTGAAAGGGAAAGCCTTGGATGTGTTTGTGTCCCTTCCCCCAGAGACTGATAACAACTATGAGGCAATCAAATCTGCATTGCAAAAAACTTTTAACCTTACTCCTGAGTCTTACAGGAAAAAGTTTAGGAGTATGCAGCAATGCCCATCATCCAGCTGCATTCTATATGTTGCACAATTAGAAACCACGTTCCGGCAATGGGTAACAGGAGTACAAGCTACTACCTATGAAGCCCTTAATGACTTACTGGTCCTGGAGCAGTTCTTGCAGACCCGGAGCCCTAATGTACGAGAGTGGATTTTGGAAAGAAAGCCAAAAAATGCTAGGGCTGCTGCAGAACTGGCAGATGACTATGCCGACATCCATGCACCCACATCCAGGCGTGGACTTGTGTCAGCTGCTACTTCGACCTGGAGAGAAGCTACAGTTCAAACACCACTTGTAAGATCTGCAGTGAGAACTTCACCGCCGACTGCCAGCGTAGCCGGGGCTATGTCAAGTGAGTCAGATGCCCGCCGTTGTTTTCGATGCAACCAGATTGGTCATCTGAGCAGGACTTGCCCCACTAGGAATATGCCCTCACCAGCCCGTGGAGGGGCACCATCAGTATTGCTTGTGGGTGGGTCTGTGGGGAAACGAGAGGATAACCTGCAGAGTGTAATTGTGGGTGACCGAGTGACCATGGGACTGAGAGATTCTGGAGCTTCCTTCACCCTGGTGCGACCTGAAGTGGTGAATACGGAGGACATAATCCCTGGAAGGACCATGTCCATCAAAGGAATTGGGGGTGTACGCCCCGCTGTGCCCTTGGCACGTGTGTACCTTGATTGGGGTGCGGGCAAAGGTTTGGGGGAAGTGGGGATTTCAGAGGATATCCCTGTTAATGTTCTGTTGGGGAATGATTTGGGCAGGATGCTCTGTCACTATGCTCCAGCGGACACTGTCTGTGAGCCAGAAGGGCTGACTGCTCCACCTAAGGTATTGTGTGAAACTTTGGGAGACATTGTGAAGTGTGATTGCTGGGAGGGAGAGCAGGGTGTGGATAAATATCTACCTGTAACTGAACCAGTGATGTCTACCAAATGTGAGATAGGGGTGAGTAGTGATGTGCCTGTATCAAAATACTGTGAGGCTGGGATGTCAGAGAGTAAGGGGGAGGAGGAAGGTGAGAGCCAGGGATGTGTACCACTAGTCGCAGTGGTAACAAGTCAGCAGTGGGTCACGGCTGCAGAGTCTGAGGGGCTATGTGAGATTGTGAGAGGAGGGCCTGCCTTGGAGAAGAAATTATGTGAGTGTGTGCAAAATTCTGTATCTGATCAAGGGGGGTCAAATGTGTCCTGTGAAAATGTATGGGAAAAGCCTTCCAGCGAGAGGGGGCTGAATGAATATATGTGCCAATATGTGCCTGAAGCAGATGTATGTGATGTGGTGGGTGAAAATGTGAAGGGACAGCAAGGCTATGAGGGAGGGCAGAGGGTGTGTGAGCTTTACTGTGCGCCAGACTTAGCCAGTTTCCAAAGTTCTGTATGTGTGATGACCTGGAGTGAAAGTGAGGGGCACGGACAGACTCAGCCTGTGGGTCCAGGAAGGATGGCTGCAGGGAAACATACTGTTGGGGGAACCAGGAACCTTGTCAGTTTATCACAACTCACGCATACACCTAAGCAACTTTCTGATTGTGAACCAAAGGTTCAGAGTCTGATAGTGCAACAAGCCCAGCAGACAGACTGCAAAATGAAAGAGATGATGGGTGTTGATACAGCACATCTATCCTGGGAGTGTTCTCTGTCTGCTTTTTTGTGTGCTTACCGGGGAGTGCTGCAGAAATCCATTGGTTTCTTCCCTTTACAGCTACTACATGAGCGCAGTGGATGTGGTTTAAGGGATGTTACCAGAGATCGATGGAAAATTGAAACAGGCAAATCAGGCATGTTTGTTGAGGGGGTAGCTGTGGTATGGACTGATCACAACCTGCTGCAGGTGACAGGTAACAATGATAAACTGCTCCATTGGAGCCCTATCCTCCAACAGTATAATTTCACTAGAAATATATACAAAGTAACAGGGCGCCACAGTCACTATATCGGTATATATGAGGGCAAGAAAAATATATATAATGACTAATATCCAAAAAATAGTAATTTATTGACACAAGATAAAAAATAACAGCACAATAATAAGTGCCAAAACAATAAATAAGCAGGAACCCATAGGTATAGCAGCTCAATGATACATAATGCTGAACTGGGCAATAAAGTGCAAAATGAAAGTGCAAATGCTCAAAGGCAAAATGCTGGTGTTAAAATTGCACCAAGTAAATGACACATATATTCAAATGGCCCAAAGTATAAATGTAAACAAACAGCATACACACAAAATAAAACCGCTAATACCACAATGCAGGGTCCCAGATAGTGCTCAGTGTTCAATGCTCAACGCGTTTCGTCGCCAGACTTCCTCAGGAGCTTCTTCCATCTTTCTCCGTCTTCCTCCTTTTAAATCCGCCGGTGTATCTACCGGCTTCCATAATTGCCGTGGTTGCGCATGCGTCCATGCGTCATCACGCATAACGTCATACGTCATGACGTATACGTGACCGCTATGCGCATGCTCAACCAAGGTGAACCGCAAACAACTTTATTGTTCATATACACGGTAGCATTAAAGAGCGATCTTATGAAAAAAAAAAAAAAAACGCTCTACAAATATGCAAACCGGATTTACAATGCCTGCCTACCCCACTACTAACCCCTAACAAAAGAATACTAAATGTAAAGGGGGGAAATATAAATCAGACAGGTGGACAAAAGGAGGAAAGGATATATAAAAAAAAAATTTGATGGAAAAAAAATTTATATGTATAAAAAATATATAAAAATATATAAAAAATGTATAGCCTATTAAGGAAAAAAAGAGTCCATTTATATTTCCACAATATCCATTATAATAAAGATGTACATAAACCTTACAAAAAAACCTCTATATAATAATAATAGAGGTGTAGATGAATAACATGTAAAAAATGTGGACAAATGAATAATCATCAAATTATGTAAGAGTAAAGATCAATATAAAAAATCTATAAATATAAATAAGAGTAATGATAATTATGATAAAAACTGAAGGCATATAAAATCAAAACACATATAAAATTCACATATAAATATCTTATTGAATTTCTTTTCAAAAATGTGATACCATAAAAATCTATATAAAAAATATATGTGTATAAAAATATATGAAAATGCATATAGAAAATACATACAAAGGATATATATCCATATTAAACAAATAAATAGATAAACTCAAAGGTGTGAATAAAAAGAGGTCATAAATAAAACATCGTACAATCAATCCATAAAAACTAATATGTCTAAATCAGTATTCAATCCTGAGGGAACAGAGGATTTCATTTTATATATCCACTCTGTTTCTCTCATTGCTAACCTCTTTTCTGTGTCCCCCCCTCTCCAGTGAGGTAAAACCATGTCGATCCCAATACAAATAAAATCATTAAAATCGAAATCTTTGCATGTATTACAGTGTCTGGGTACACTATGCTTCTCATTTTTATTTTTAATCCCATTAAAATGTTCAAGCAATCTAGTGTGTAATTTCCTAATCGTCCGTCCAATATATTGGACCCCACATTCACACTGTAGCAAGTATACCACAAATTTACTTTGACAGTTGATAAAATGTTTTATTTTAAAAGTTTCTTTAGTTACCATGCTAGAAAATTCTGTTGTCTTATTCTTTTGAAATTTACATGTGCTACACCTACCACATTTAAAAAAACCCTTAGGCCTTTCTATTAGGAAATTCATCTTCTCATTTTCAACTTGTCTTTTGGGCAAAATACTAGGAGCTAAAATATTCCTCAAATTATTGGGTCTTTTATAAATTACTCTAGGGTTCTGAGGTAAAATCTTTTTTAAAAACTTATCCTGTAGCAATATAGGCCAATTTTTCTTAATAGACTTCTCGATTAAATTGGCCTTATTGCTAAATTTTGTCAAAAAAGCAAATTCTGACTGATTCCCAGCACCCTTCTTAGTCTCCTTGGTATTCATTAGAACATCTCTCCTCTGATAACCTTCTACCTGTTTTTGTGTATTGGATAGAAGTATTTCAGGATAATTTCTATCCAAAAAATTTTTATTCAAAACCTGGACCTGTTGATTAAAATCTTCTTTCTCGGTGCAATTCCTATATAATCTCAAATGCTGTCCTTTGGGAATGTTCGTCAGCCATTTCCGATGGTGGCAACTTGAAAATTCAATAAAAAAATCTTTAAAAAAGATTTTACCTCAGAACCCTAGAGTAATTTATAAAAGACCCAATAATTTGAGGAATATTTTAGCTCCTAGTATTTTGCCCAAAAGACAAGTTGAAAATGAGAAGATGAATTTCCTAATAGAAAGGCCTAAGGGTTTTTTTAAATGTGGTAGGTGTAGCACATGTAAATTTCAAAAGAATAAGACAACAGAATTTTCTAGCATGGTAACTAAAGAAACTTTTAAAATAAAACATTTTATCAACTGTCAAAGTAAATTTGTGGTATACTTGCTACAGTGTAAATGTGGGGTCCAATATATTGGACGGACGATTAGGAAATTACACACTAGATTGCTTGAACATTTTAATGGGATTAAAAATAAAAATGAGAAGCATAGTGTACCCAGACACTGTAATACATGCAAAGATTTCGATTTTAATGATTTTATTTGTATTGGGATCGACATGGTTTTACCTCACTGGAGAGGGGGGGACACAGAAAAGAGGTTAGCAATGAGAGAAACAGAGTGGATATATAAAATGAAATCCTCTGTTCCCTCAGGATTGAATACTGATTTAGACATATTAGTTTTTATGGATTGATTGTACGATGTTTTATTTATGACCTCTTTTTATTCACACCTTTGAGTTTATCTATTTATTTGTTTAATATGGATATATATCCTTTGTATGTATTTTCTATATGCATTTTCATATATTTTTATACACATATATTTTTTATATAGATTTTTATGGTATCACATTTTTGAAAAGAAATTCAATAAGATATTTATATGTGAATTTTATATGTGTTTTGATTTTATATGCCTTCAGTTTTTATCATAATTATCATTACTCTTATTTATATTTATAGATTTTTTATATTGATCTTTACTCTTACATAATTTGATGATTATTCATTTGTCCACATTTTTTACATGTTATTCATCTACACCTCTATTATTATTATATAGAGGTTTTTTTGTAAGGTTTATGTACATCTTTATTATAATGGATATTGTGGAAATATAAATGGACTCTTTTTTTCCTTAATAGGCTATACATTTTTTATATATTTTTATATATTTTTTATACATATAAATTTTTTTTCCATCAAATTTTTTTTTTATATATCCTTTCCTCCTTTTGTCCACCTGTCTGATTTATATTTCCCCCCTTTACATTTAGTATTCTTTTGTTAGGGGTTAGTAGTGGGGTAGGCAGGCATTGTAAATCCGGTTTGCATATTTGTAGAGCGTTTTTTTTTTTTTTTTCATAAGATCGCTCTTTAATGCTACCGTGTATATGAACAATAAAGTTGTTTGCGGTTCACCTTGGTTGAGCATGCGCATAGCGGTCACGTATACGTCATGACGTATGACGTTATGCGTGATGACGCATGGACGCATGCGCAACCACGGCAATTATGGAAGCCGGTAGATACACCGGCGGATTTAAAAGGAGGAAGACGGAGAAAGATGGAAGAAGCTCCTGAGGAAGTCTGGCGACGAAACGCGTTGAGCATTGAACACTGAGCACTATCTGGGACCCTGCATTGTGGTATTAGCGGTTTTATTTTGTGTGTATGCTGTTTGTTTACATTTATACTTTGGGCCATTTGAATATATGTGTCATTTACTTGGTGCAATTTTAACACCAGCATTTTGCCTTTGAGCATTTGCACTTTCATTTTGCACTTTAGCATTTTGCACTTTATTGCCCAGTTCAGCATTATGTATCATTGAGCTGCTATACCTATGGGTTCCTGCTTATTTATTGTTTTGGCACTTATTATTGTGCTGTTATTTTTTTATCTTGTGTCAATAAATTACTATTTTTTGGATATTAGTCATTATATATATTTTTCTTGCCCTCATATATACCGATATAGTGACTGTGGCGCCCTGTTACTTTGTATATATTTCTATTTTGATTATTGGATTTGGAGTGTCCTATTTACAGAGGCTGGCCTGCACTTGGTTTATATCCATCGTTACTGTTCATTCACCCATCTTTCTATTTTCTTGTTTTGTATAATTTCACTGCCGGCACAAAAGGGCAGCTTGCATGAATGCGGATGGCCTGTCTACCGACAACTAGAGGGTTAATGGTAGACAGATAAAATCAGCCTGTGGCACAATTTTCTATCCCACTATCTTTAAAGGGAGGTGTCATGCCAAAAGCATGAGTTTGTGTTTGATGTGTGTTTATATATGTTAAGAGTTGTTTTTTTTGTAAACCTTGGGATGACGTTTATTGTGGTCTTTGATCCTGCACCAGGCCTAGACCATAAAACATCTAGATAGCCATCACCAGAGCTGGACACAAGGAATTTCATAGAGTGGGCAATGGAGCTACTTAGATCCCCAGGGTCTGCCCACTGAAACAACTAGTTTAGATATATGAGGGTGTTGGACTATCCAGGGAAGTCAGTTATTCATTTTTCTTTTGTCAGTAACTTCTAGGAGACCTATACCATCTAAGACTCCTACAAGAATTATATATGGGGTAAATATATGTAAGGAATTTCTTGTGTTTTCTCCTATTTTATTTTATGTACTGTTTTGCAATTTGTTATCTGTATGTCATTTATTTCTGTATTTTGTACTCAGCACTGTGAATCCTTTTGTCAGATTAAATGTTTACTTAATCAGCTTGTGTCTCTGTTCTCTATGAGCTTCACT